TAGGTATTGGGGGAAGGGGGTTGGGGGGAACTAAGCCTAGAGATCACCACCTGAGAGAGATACTCCATTGAAGCGCCTGCAATCTGATGAGTCGACAAGTTCACGTTACTCAGTTAAGCAATGCTGACCGTTTGCTGTGAACCCGTGTCTGTTTTTTTTTTTCTCCACGTAGCGCAGAAACTAAATGTTTTTTTTGTTTTTTTTACATTAACAGAATGCCTTACAAGAACGATATTGTCAACATGTTTCATACTAAACTCTAACTAACTTACACCGAAAGGTTCGCGACCTACGTATTTTTAAAGTTGGTCAAGACTTCTGGAAAGGACTATAAAAAGCCAGATCATTTTACCCGTATGCTAGCCTCTGGACACCGCACAACTGCGACTTCCTGTATGTGAATCTACATAGGTTACCCTGATGGATCTATTAAAGAGATATTTGATGCATGCGGGAAATTCTGCTCAAATTATAAAGCTGAAATAAACGCACTGAAAACAGCAGTATACCACCTAAAGACTGTAATGGATGTTTATCCTTCAAAGGCCTAAAGTATTGCCATCTTCACCGATTCACTGTTTGCTCTTCAAGCTCTGGAGGGCAGTGAACACTGCAGAACTGACATAGCTAAGATAATTCTAGATGCTGATCAGCTCATTACTTCATAGAACATCATAATAGTGATGCAGTGGATTCCAGGCCACTCCGGCACACTAGGTAATGACAGAGCTGACAGACTGGCAAAGAAAGGAAAACACAAGAACAATCACCTACAGCGACAAACCTACAGACAGCAAAAACACAATTATAAAAGCTATAAACAAAGAGACTTGGCTGAACAGATGGGCCATGGGAGATACTGGAAGAGAGGTTTATAGACACATGGCTAGCCCTGATCCTAATGACAGCATTAACCATTTAACAAGAAGGGACCAGGCCACCATCTTCAGACTCAGAACACAACATACTCCACTCAATGAACACCTAAACAGAATACAGCCACAACACTCCCAAGAATGCCAGCTATGTAACTACCCCTTCGGAACTGTTGACCATCATCTCTTTTAGTGCCTAAAACACAACGAGACAAGAAGAATGCTACCCCCTCCGAGACCAGACAAGTGGAACACCTTGTACGGAGGAAAAGAACAGCTTGTGAAAACATGTAAATTCCACTACATGACATTGGGCCAAAGGGCGAAAGCTCATATGCCGCTGGATCAATAACAACAATAACAACTCAATTAAGTAATGCTGACCGTTTGCTGTAAATCTGTGAATGTTTTGTTTTTTCTCTCCATGTAGCGCAAAAAACTAAATGCTTTTTTTTACAATAACAGAATTCCTTACAAGAAGGAAATTTTCAACAGGTTTCATACTAAACTCTAACTAACTTACACCAAAAAGTTCGTGACTTACTTATTGTTAAAGTTGGTCAAGTCTTTTGAAAAGAACTATAGAAAGCCAGCTCTTTTTAACCGTAGGCTAGCCTCTGGACACCGCACGACTGCGACTGCCTGTATATTAAACAGTGGGGACATTCAAAAGCAGATGAAAAAACTTTGTATAGTACTTTTTCAGTCGCCTCAATATGTAATTAAACTGCTTGAACAGGTCTTCACTTAGGAGGAACACTCGGTTAACATGATCACAGTTTTGGTCACTGCAGAAATTTATTTTTAGTAATCTTGGGTTCAGTCGAATTTGTTAAAGCAGAAACTCTTGATTTTTCGATTCCTTGAAATTCCTGTTAACTATTTCATAATGTATCATAATGCAATATGAAAATAGTTAACAGGAGTTTCAAGGAATCGAAAAATCAAGAGTTTCTTAATGTATCATAATGCAATATATAACTATGATGCAGAAACTCAGGCTATCAAGATAGCAACAAAGAAACTGCTAAATACCAATCTTGGCTCACAGTATGTAGTAATGCTAACAGATGCAAAATCAGTACTTGAAGCACTCCAGTCTAGGAAACTATCAGAATTGCAAACACTTCTGACACAACTTAGCCTTCAGCGAAGGTGGATACCATCATATTGTGGAGTGCCTGGAAATGAGAAAGCTGATCAACTGGCAGGAGAAAGTGCGACAAAAGTGCTGCCGGATGTACCAGTCACATACCACAGAAAAAAAAAAGAATCATAAAATCAATCAGGAAACCACCAGCCCCAGCACAAGACGACTGTTTTGTTATGGACAGATCAGAACAAGATATTATACTCCGCCTCAGAACAGGGCACAACCGATTACGTAACCACATGTACACAAAATTCATGATAGGTGTATCAGCCCTGTGCACCTGTGGAAAGGTGCCCCCAGACAGCAGAGCATGTACTGCAAGACTGCACCGAATTTGACTCATTAAGAAAAACCTTTTGGCCAGAAAGAACAACAGTGGAACGTAAACTCTATGGACCACTGAATGAATTAACAACAACAGTGAAATTTATACAAGAGACAAAATTGCTGATATAGACAGCTTATTTCAGGCGAACGAAAGAAGAAGAAGATAATGCAATATTTTATCCCCGCATTAGAAAACTGATAAACCTGAACTAGGATAAATTCAGAAACATTAAAAAACAACAAAAAAAAAAAAAAAACATGTCTGGACAACCGTTTCTGTCATCAGTTATAAGAAACAGAAGATTGCAATTTGCTCTGCACTTCATGGGGAGAAACAGACAGAGAACCATCAAACAGGCACTGGAGTGAGAAATAAATTGATTGGAGAGGGGATAAACAAAGGCCCCCCAAATGAAACCATAAGACGAACGTTGTTGGGAAAGTCAAGGGTCTGGACTGGATTTCATCTTTGGGGATTGTATAGGATTGGACAGAAATGGAGGACTAGACTGCAAGGCTTGTGTAGAGGTATAACGGCACAATATGATAATGACGAAGCATATTTAATTCACACCGTAAAAACATTCATCTGGGTCTCTAAGAATGTAATTTATAATGTCCAAGCATGCAGCCAATTTTTTTCTGTAAGTTAAGTAAATGACGGCACTCTATGGGTGATATGGTCAGCATCAGTTAATCTTCTGAAGCCTTCGGAATGTAATGTTTAAGTCCTAGGCTTACAATTAATCCTGAGGCCCAGGTTTTTTTTTTTTTTTTTTTTTTGCTTTAAAAAAAAAAGGAAGAATACCAGAACACACACACACACACACATACACACGCACACAGGCACGTACACACACACACACGCATACACATATGTGACAATCGTCATCATCATTAAGTACCTTGCCAGCTAGCGTAGGCGTTCATGCATCTCCACTGTCATGAGTTGAACGGCCACCATACACAGTGGGCGAGTCGGGACTTGATATCCCTCGCGCTCAGCAAGATTTCAAACTTAGACCCGTCTGGAAAGGTATATAGTCCCTTATATTGATCTATACCTTTATCTGGTAAAATAGTAATTTCTGGACCCTCTAGTTGCTTTGATATATCTTCATTTTCAAACTTGCAACTGTAGATTGGGTAATTCTAGTAGTTTATTTTAAAATTCCTGGAAACCGGTTTACTCCTCGTTCATGAATACAAGGAACTTCTTTCATAATGACGCGGGTTTGAATTTGAGAACGCCATTCTTTCGCCTGATCCCAAAGTGTCAAGACGTGTATCCAGTCTTAGTAGAATTTGGCGCATTCATAGTTCCAGTTCTAGCTTGGAAGATTTCCTAAGCTTAGGATGAGATCTCTGTAGAGATCAGGCAGACGAATCACAGTCCAGCCAACAACCACCAACCCATACCATTCTATGCACCAAGCATAACCATGTCCTGCCTGTATGCCACTTCCTCAACATGGGAAAAGCGTGTTTGTGAGCTCCAGGACGAGTGAACATTTGCAGACGTTGTGTCATTCATCTAGTGAACCAGTCTTCAAGAGCTTGGTTTGGCTTTGAGACAGTTTTTGTGACCTGACCTGTGAGAGAGACTTGTTGAGTCCCTATGCAGTTTCTGTGTCCTCGATGGTGAGGAAAGCAACTGGTACCAGATCAACTAGAGGCAAAGATATCTGAGTCAACTACAGTCGAATCACTATGGACTGAGGGGAGCATCGATCTACGAACTGGGTTAAGTGATCTATGAATTACCATCATGCTCTTTTCCCACAGCTCCGCGAGATTCCAGTGATGAACTCATGTACACCTCAAGGCAATCTGGCTGCTTCAATATCTGGGTCGTTTCATTGTGTACTAAGCTCCATCAACTGAGATCTGGTTTACCTATTCACTATTTTATGTATATATTGTACTGATTACATGCATAAATTTTCATAGCTGACTTGGGTGTCCCTTTTTCACCATTCTAACTGTCATGCTTTGATGTTTGTGTGAGTAATAAGTGTTAACTGTGTTAACATGGTTATGATAGTAAACTATCATTACCTGGGGGCTATCTTTTTATAGTAGTGGGGGTGTCCAGCCAAGTGTGCCTAGGAATATTCTTATATTTTGTAGTGCCTAAACTTGAGTTGCCCTACTCCTGAAATAAGTTGAGCGTATATTGGCCACGGGGCATCCCTTAGACCAATACGAGCCAACGACTCAACATAATTATTTCAGAGTGCTGTTGGTTCTTAAGTAGAAATCCTTAAATCAGACACGCGACAGGAGTGATATGTGACATCCACATATCTCGGTCTTCATAAACTGATGATATTCCTTCATGCCACTGTCTCAGTTCGTCCATCATCAACTCTCTTGGTCTGCCTCTGCCTCTTCTACCTAATTCTACAAGTAATCCATCCAGTACATATGCCATTTTCCAGTGCTCCTTTTTTCATCACGTGACCAAAGAACTGTGTCTGTCTCTTTCTCATTGCTGTATGTAATGTTTTACTTTTGTTTTTATCCATTTCCAGGTAATTATTGTTAGTTACTCTGTCAGTACAAGGTGTTCTCAACATATATTCACAACGATACCCACCACAATAGGGTTGAAAACAGTTATGCCTTAAAAAATGTGTCCGTACTGCGCACCCCCAGAAACAAAGCCATACTTGGGCCATTTTAAAATTATTTTTTGCAATTCTTTCAGAATATCAATGCTATAGAGAACAAGACCGTATCTTTGAACAGTATATCGCTGTACCCGACCATATTAACTGACGTCATCAGAATTGAGCCCAAAGACAGCGAAAACCAGGCTTGTTTTCGAATGGAGCTGTACCGGTGTGATACTGCATGTAAGTTGTGTTTTATATGTCCGTGCATTTATTTTTTTTACTTTTTATGCCTTGTTATCTTATGCATTCTATCTAGGGTATTGGATTATGCAATTGTACATTTTATATGTACTGGCATCTCGGTATGCTTTCGCCTTGGTGTACGTTCCACTTGGTACACGTCATGTTTAGACTCAAACACAGTTGCTTCGTATACGACCTTTGAAATGTTAACTTGTATGAGTCAAAATTAGTCACGACACCACGCGCTATCTGTAATCACCCACTTCTTTTGATGCAATGACCCAAAAAAGATGGCAATGCCTCTGTTATCAGCACAACAAAGCTTAAATAAGCCGTAATTGCACTGTCTGGAATGACCAGTCAGTGTCACATTGACAAAACATTCTTTGGAGAATCCTGAAACGAAGTATTACTTTTGACAGACTTTTAGTAAAAATCAAATTGGATGTGGTTTAACCAGGTCCATGAAAAAGAAAGGATTCTTGAAGTTTTACTGGAAGGGCTTTCCTTTTAAACAATAACACCAGCTTCTCCTCCCTTCCCAATTTGTTAGTTTATCGAAAGATTATCTTCACTGCACGTCGGACAAGTCCAAAAAAGCTCAGAACCTCCCATCTTCAGTTTGTCACCCAGCCTGTGGCGACTGATAACACCAGTTCGGTGTTGGTTTACTATTCTTCTCTAGCTACCTGTGTGGTGTACATGTTTGGCGACGCCTCTTTTGACGTGAAGCTCTTGTAGTCTTTTGAGTGTTGCTGATTCAGCGTCGTCTCTTGAATCATCATCTCCTCCTGTCGTCTTGACAACATAGAGAATGTCGGCCCGGTGCCATCTTATTATATCTGTGCTCTTTTCGGGAAGTAAAGTGGGGTTAAATTGTCTTTAAATAGTTGTGTTTTCTAATTTATGTATAATAGTAGGCAGCATACCCATTTTTTTTATACAACCACATAAAATGTATGACATGCCAATAACAATGGGATTTTCCTTTTTTTTTAAATTATTGGATCCGCGGTGGTCTAGCGGCTAAACGATCGCCTGTGGATCGGAAGATCTTGGGTTCGGGTCCTGAGATAGACCGGACTTTTTTTTTCAAAAATGGCCTTGGCTCAAGCCTTGAGTCAGTACCAGGTACAATCCTGATAAGTAAAAGCGACAGGGGTGATGCTGACCGTATTACCTACCAAAGTGCCGTTTGGTCTATAAAATATAGGTTTAGCCCTATGTACCCAATACGCCTTAAGGCGTGGAAAAAGGTCCTTTACTTTAAGTTTTTATTAATATGGGAAAATTCGTTTGGTATGAGTCCTGTCTCGTGAACGTCTAAGGATCAAGAACAGATTTAGTACTTGTACCGAGGTATGACTGTATACACCGTGTGTGATTATGTGTATGTATGTATGTGTGTATGCGTGTTTGAGAAAGAGAGACAGACAGACAGAAAGAGAAGAGAGAGAGAGAGAGAGAGAGAGAGAGAGAGAGAGAGAGAGAGAGGAATCTGTCATACCTCAAACACCCAAGTTTACAAAACTGTAATTACAAATACATTTTTTTTCAAACTACAGTGGGTCGTTGTCTTCATAGTTAACTAACTGTATAAATCCTATTTAATCTGCACTAAAAGAAACATAATAATTGTGAATGAACACGTACCTCCCCAGCAATGTGCCCCTTGAACTATTGTCAAAACAACGGAACCTGCTCCCAGCCGTACTCATGCGACTGTCCTGATTCCTATTACGGAGAAAAGTGCCAATATTCAAGTAAGTCGATCCATTGTTTTTTTGTGTGTTTTTTTTTTTTTTAGAACAAATCTTTGTTTCTAATAATAATTTAATACTGTATTAATGTTTTTTAGAATGCCGGTTCTAATGTGTCCAACGCCTAAGCCGCCGACGCAGACATGTCCTTGTTAATTAATAAGTAACCATAGTAACAGATAACAGTCATGTATGCCCTTTCTGATTTCTGTGAATTTTAATTAATGGTGATATGGAGGTCGCAAAGAAATAATTGAGGTCTTTGACGCGTTATAATTTTCTGAAGACGGAAAGGGTGCGCCCAGAAGCTTAAGTATTGTTTAATCAATTTAGTATAATTACTATGTGCTGAATGGGAAGAAAATAATATTATATATTCTTCTTCTCTATCAAGTCCATGCCGTGTGGCGTTGGTAGTCATGTCTGTCCACTACCTTCTGTCTCGTTTACTTTGAATCAATTTTGACACAGATGATCCTCATGCCATAACATCACACTGTCCAGAATTTTTTCTCAGTCTCCCTCTGCCTCTCCTGACCTCCAGATTTCTTACCGTCATCATGCACTCCAATTAATTTTTTTCTTATTTTAATCACATGAGCAAAGAATATAGTTTGTCTCTTTTTGATGTAGGCAATCATTTCTCTTTGTGAGTCAGTTTCTTTCAAGACATCCTCATTACTTTTTTTTTAAATCTGTCCAGTGTATTCTTATCATTCGTCTATAAAATTACAACTCCTCAGCTTCCAAATAATTTTTCACTAAACTACCAACTGTCCATCCATTACATAATTTATAAGAAAGGTATTTAAAAAAAAGCCTAGAGAGTCGACTTCAGTTCACCTTGTGTTGTCCCATATTGCTCGGCCTCTCTCCACACAACAGCTAACCCCCTGCTGAAAGCATTGCACAAAGCATGAGCTCTGTAGCTCCAGCGAGAATCCATGGATTTCCTAACAAAATTCACCCGTGAACTGACCGAAGTGTCCGTAAAACGAACTCAAAACTTTCAGAGCTCGGGGCGAAAGCCAGGACAACTTCGCTCCACGGAGATCTCCTTGCAATGTCTAAATAAATAAATATACATATAATGTATGCACGATTAAGGGTACACTTAGTACTTTTGCGTATCTTCTAAATAGTGGAAGCTCAGCTCTAGCTTACAGTTAGTGGATGGAGTCGTTGCTCCAGACTTTCCTTAAAAAAGTGGGAAGGGACAGGGCCTTCTTAAATGCATTAAAGGCCACTTGGCAAAACCGATGTGCTGGGGCCCCTATCACAGCCACTCACTGAAAGAAATGTAAATGGTGTATAATATTAAACATATTGTATTTTATTAGCACTTCAGTAAAACTAGTTTAAAACATGAACATAGATTAGATGGTACAGTATAAAATTACTACGAACTTCGTATTATGTAAAGCATATGCGGGATATCACAGAATTGATTTATTATTAGCTTGAAATCTTCTGAATGTCTTGTCCATGCACACGAGTAAACACCAGTTCAAACTATGCTGCTCCATTGTGCTACGAGGCACATTTTGTATAAGTTTCAGTCTTGAAAAAGACATGCTCTTGTACAGTTGGTTACCATCATGCATATGAACTCTCCGAGTGCAGGTTCAACATTTGGTAACAAGTTTTCAGATTGTCAAAAATTATATATTTGAACAGGGAAGGGAAAATCTCGCATTTTCATTAACATCCATGCAGTGCGTGAGATACTCACATTCCCTTAAAAGGCATAATAATTGAGGGTTTTTTAATGCATGTACATTTTTTTGTTTCTTTCGTGCAAAAAAAAAAAAATGTTTTTTTATTTATCAAAGTAAGAAAATTATTTATGTACCTAACCAGTGGTTCACACCCCCCCCCCCCCCCCCTCCCGGACACACACACACACACACACGCGCGCGCGCGCGCACACATACAATCACATGAGAGAATAGGAAATATAATATCGGTTGTATATTATACAGAAAGTAAGTAAAGGTCACATACATTTTTATTTATGGCAAAGTGACTTTACAAACACAGATTAGCAAGTCGCCTTGCTGGCCCATGCGTTAAGATAGTCACATACAGGGAGGAGAAGCTCAAGGCTCTTGGGTTGTCAGGCTTATGCGCCCCTGATCAATGATAATATTTATTTTTAAGTCCTGGATGTCATCTTCAATTTATCCGTCGATTTACTAATTTACCTACCCTTTTTACGCCTTATCAAATTAAAGGGGAGACAATACCTATGACGACGTACGAGTTCCTGCAAATCAGTGACAACAAGGTCATTACTGGATCTCACAGCTTGACAGCCCATGGCAGTGTGTCCTTGGATGACGATAACGTCCTCACCTTACCACCCGGTAGTTTCTTGGATCTGGTCGACTATAGTCAGGGTTCTTGTTTCTCTGACGTGGATAAATGTTTGTCGGGACTTACAGTCAGTCTGGTATTCAGGTAAGTGAAATAAATACGAGTATTAGAAAAGATGAGGTGTTTGCAACAAGTAATATCCTCTCTTCTCTCTCTCTCTCTCTCTCTCTCTCTCTCTCTCTCTCTCTCTCTCTCTCTCTGTGTGTGTGTGTGTGTGTGTATATATACCTTTCTATGTATGTATGTTCTTCTGTGTGTAAGTACGCCCTTTTCTCTATCTGTTTCTTTCTCTCTGTATGCCTTTCTGTCTTTCTGTGAGGGTGTGTCCTTCTCTGAGTTTGTGTCTTTTTTTCTTTTGTCTCTTTGAGTGTGTATGTCTTTCTCCCTCTTTGTATGTGTAGGTGTGAGTGTGTCCTTCTCGCTGTGTGCGACACCCCCATCCCTTTCTCTGTCTAGTTTTTTTCGATGTGTGTATGTGTCCTTCTTTCTCTCCCTTCTCTCTCTATGTGCATGTCCGTATCTGTGTATGTGTAGTTTTGTCTGTCTGTCTACCTATCTATCACTTCAGTATTGAAAGTCTTGTTTCCTCTAACCATCACTGGTATTGACTTTAAAGATGCTATGTTCAACACGTCCCACTAAATAACGTAACTAACATTCATTATAATGTGGATATCTTCAGCCCGTTCTTCCCAAACAACTCCATTAGCCTTCACTATGAACATGACAAGATAACTCATACTGTCCGAGAAAAACCCACAGCTGACGCCCAAGACCAGCAGGGAACACATGCCTTTCGAATCCGATTTTAATAACTTGACGTGGCTCCCAGGTTGATCCAACCTAATATAAGTACCTGGT